AATACCCTTTCCATCATTTCTTTCCCCACTAGTTGTGAGTAAATAACAGGACAGGTATATATACTTGAGTGGCAACCGGTCTAGGTGAAGGACAACTCTGAATTCAAAACCTGAGGTAACTAAACCTAGACTTATGATGGGGTGTAATTGGCACCCCATCAGTACTAAAAATAAAGAACTGTTAATGAACGGAATAACTTCTCAGATTCAACTGGCATCCAACTCCACTATGGGTTAAGTAGACTCACTAACTCGTAATTGGACAAGCGTGGTGAATATGGGTACAGTATTGAAGACATGGTCAATTTAGATAGGAGTTCCTACCACAAGAATTAGTAGACACTGAGTTTGGTTTTGGATTTAGACGTCACTATCATGTTTGTTTTTTCCTGTCTTTTTTTTTCTAAGTCTTCTACAATTTTTTCTTAACTATAACTCACTTTCTAACATTTTTTATTCGCTTTCACTTTCCAATTTTTTGGTTTTTTTTTGTTTTTGTTTTTGTGTTGTTTTTTTGCTTATGAATTTCTAAAACTTTTCCCTATGTAATTCATTTTTTTCCCATCATTTGCTTAGCAACATTTTTAATTGTTTTTCTCTATTTTTGCAGAAAGGGGTTTTCCTCACAGCCAGAGGACAAGACATCAATCGACAACCGAATATTCTTTACATTTCCACAGATTCAGGGTCCTCCTGGGTAGCTCTTCATGAGTTTGTGGACGTGAGTTACTCCCCTTTGTTGCTACTGATCTCAGTTCCTTATTTAATTACATGTGTTCATTTTTAAAAAACGTTAAGTTTTGTTTGGTTTACCAAATACATATCGAGTTGTTTTGAGTAGTTTGTGCCGTCGGTAAAGATCTGTACAGAAACATTGCAAAATAAAAATTAATGACGGCTAGGATGAAGCCGGAAGAACATAAATGGCGTTTTTTTTTTTTTAATAATGCTAAGTGTGTAGAAATGTGTTACATGCCTTCTCTCTGGCCTTGAAATATAATGGATGTTACAGCTGTCTTTACTCAAAGATCCAGCACGTCAAACTGCGAGAGGCTGTGTTATAAGCATTCGTCAAGACGCAAGCAGGGCTGTAGCAGCCGTGGGTGAGGGTCCTTGGCTCCCTCCACCAAATGTTTACAGACGGGACAATAGTTTAAGATTTTCTTGTTGTAAGTTGTTTTATTAATTTTCAGACCCTAATAAAAAAAGAACTAAGTAAAAAGAAGATTTTTCCTTCATTAATGAATGTATATTTCCCTTGTAGACATTAAAAAAAAATGCAATGTTCTATTTGTAACACAGACGGTTCTCTGTTATTTCAAAGATGATTTCTGCCAATCTAGATGTACTGGAATTTTAAAATTTTCTTGCCGGTAGCCATGTTGGTGGCTTTTGATAAATTAAGGCTAAATTCTGCATCCCCCACTTGCCATCAAACATTTGTCTCTGTTACTACCCTGAGAACCCATCTTTTCCTAGTGGCCTCCTCTTAAAAATCATGACCGCTGAGTGTGGAGCAATCTCTAAAAAGAATACCCGCTCGGCCCGGTGGCTAGGATCAAAGTGTAGTATCTGCGCTTTGTGAGCTGCCGAGCCGGGTGTCTGTCGAACTCTCTGCTTGCAGAGAGGAACCCTGACGAAGCTCCGCCGAAGGGTAGGGTTTCGTTGGGGGAGGTTGACGGAACTAGCCCGCTTGGACGGGTTTAGATGGGTTTTATTTTTGGCTGGGCCTACGGGCTCGGACATACCCACATTAAAAAGGCCTTGTGCCGCATTCAATTCCTGTGGGTGAATTGATAAATACCATCTAATTGGAGAGAAGGAAGGAGCATTAATACAGCAGTTCTGTCCTCGCAAAAGCGGAGAAAAAGATTAAGATCTAATTTTTTTTTGTTTTTCTCTCGAAATAAATAAAAAAAAATCAGTGATAATTTAAAAAATTATTTCTCTATGGTTTTTCCTTCATTTTCGCTTACAATTTTGAATTAGCAAATTCACTATTTAATAAATCCACTTAAAATTCTCTTATCTTGTATATTTGCAGGAGAATAGCGCCATCTACAATAAGGACAAGCATGACTTCCTGATCCATCAATTAGATCTATATAAGGCCCTTTGCTTTGTAAGTAAATCTCCTTCTACCTGATTATGCTCACTTTTTTTTTTCTACGAGTTTCTCTCAAGGCTCTCTCCGGTATGTCTTCTCACCATTTATTTTTCAATATCTAAAACGTTTTTTAAAAGACGTCTCCGTTAACCGAATACTTAAAAGAAAAGTAACAAAAAATGATGTAATCGAACCTGAACTACATCCGGTAGAAAGACCTCTGATCGGAAGATTGGAGGTTTTGAGGCCCCGTTGAACCACCTCTTAATTGCTATTCTTCGCAGATATTTAAAATTTTGTATTTGTTGGACTTTGAGATTGCCAACATGTACTTTCTCTCAAATGGCCCCAGCTGCAAGTTTACTTAATTTACGATGGCCTCAGGTTCAAGGAGAATTTATTATCAGATCATATTGCTTCAATTTTCGACTGATAGCACTTATTGTACTAATGGGGTTATTAAATTTATTGGAGATTTTTCATTATCCTATTCCATGATTAAAATGGTGAAATATCACTCTAAGGACTACTTGAGAGAGTTTCTTTGTCTCCACCAGAAATTTAATTTTTATTCCAAGTGCACACAGGATTTTTAAATTGTCATTTTGTGTGTGTGTGTGTGTGTGTGTGTGTGTGTGTGTGTGTGTGTGTGTGTGTGTGTGTGTGTGCTCTGCTTGGTTGGAGGAAACTTTAAATTAATAATTTGTATACAATTCAATTCAAAACTGTGTATTTTATTTTGTTTAATCATTGATTTCAGTATGTGTTCAAAACTTATGCGCGCCGCTTATATGTTTGATTTTTCATATCAGTTTGTGTCTAGAGAAAAATTTCTTATTTCTGCTCCTTATTTATATAATACTCTAACCACCTTAGAACATTTGTCTTTAAAAAATTGTGTCCAATACTGTGTAACTGAAACTTATCACTTAACTGAGTGGTGTGATTTCAGTCATGCTGACTTCGAAGTTTCGTGGTCTCATTGTAGTAATGTCTTCACTCTTCAGGTCTGTTGGATTTTATATATGTATATATAGAAAGAGAGATAGTGATGGGATGTGTATATATATATATATGTGCGTGTATATATATATATATATATAGAAAGAGAGAGAAAGAGTTTGTATGTGTGTGTGTTCCTGCGTGTATGTCCATGTTAGTATAAAGATCAAATTCAGGCATGCAACTGACATTCAACACGCAGTGCTGATTCCTATGTCTGTATCTATAGACACTCTATTACTCTTCCCCTATAAATATAGCAAATTCAAAAATTTTTTTTATATATATATATATATATATATATATATATATATATATATAACAATGCACAGAGTGAGGCAAAAGTCGCAAAAGTCGTGCGTCATAAGGATAATTTATTAAAAGTATACTTACACATGGAAATTTTATTTACTAGTTATTTTAATGTGCTGTTCAAAATGTCCGCCTCCTTTTTCAAAACACATTTCAATTCTGCGCCTGCATGATTCGGAGAGTCATTTTACTGCATTCATATTTAATTTCTTCAATATTTCTTGGGCGTGTCTGATAAACAACTGATTTCAAATGGTCCCTTAGAAAAAAAAATACAAAGGTGCCTCTTCGACATATCCATTAACCCCCTAAGGTGCACGACATTTACCTATGCAGACAATGTTTCGAACTTAATTTCCAGGAAATCGTATGTTATGGTTTCACTATATATATATATATATATATATATATATATATATATATATATATTTGTTTTTAAACAAGGCATTTGATTTTTAGAAAAGTATAAATTTAAATCAGATTTACTGTGTGATGGTGACGTCAATGACAGACACTTAAAATATAAGTAAAACTCCATGAATAACATCCGTTTATCTTGTAGGAAAACACGCTTGTCTAGCAGGTAACGGTCTTCAACGGCGTTGATGAAACTTTTGTAGAGATGGAAATGTAAAAGCAAGGAGTCGTAAAAAAACTGGCGAGATTATTTATGTTTGTTTCCTTTGCAGTTCTCTATTTTTTTTTTCTTTTTAATCTCAATTACGTCTTTTTTATCTACTCTTTCTCGAAATCTGTGCCTTTTTCACTCGCCAATTGACGTCTTCCATCATCATCATCATCATCATTTTAACATCAACGTTATTTCTATCATCATCAATATCATGATTTCTAGCATCACCATTATTTGTATCATTACTTCTATCATCATCATCGTCATCATCATTATTTCTATCATCATTTTTATTTCTATCATCATCATCATCATTTCTGTCATCATCATTTCTATCATCGTTATTTCTATCATCGTTATTTCTATTATCATCATTATTTCTATCATCATCGTCATCATCATCATT